CAATGATACCCATGTTTCCACTGGTAATGGCTGAGGATTTCTATCACATGACTGGAGTCTCTGATGTAGGATGGCAATTGTACAACTAGTGGTTGGAGGAAATAGTTAATATACTTGGAGAGGCCATTAGTAAAACTATTTGTGCTTGCAATTATAGGGCGACCAGGGGGATGTGTAGTAGATTTGTGTATTTTTGGCAAATGATAAAAATATGGAGTACTACAAATGGGGGGAAGGAGGAAAGACTTTTCTCTCTTATTTATTACACTATCATTATAGGCTTTGTGAATGAGTAATTTGAGGGATATTTGATACTCTGGTAAGGGATCTGCCTTTAGTAGCTGATATGTTTCGATATCAGAAAGGAGACGAATGGACTCATTGATGTAATCGCTGGTGTTGTGTACAACAAGACTTCCTCCTTTATCAGCTTGCTTAATAACAATGTTTTTATTATTCTCTAAGTTTTTTAAGGCTTGTGCTTTGGAATTACTCATGTTGTAACTAGTAGGTGGATTATTGCACAAGCTGAGAAGATCTTTATAGGCTGCCTGGTAGAAGTTCTCGATGTATGGTCCCTTGGACTGTACTGGAAAAAAACTGGATTTGGATTTAAAATTGGTGTGAATGATATCTGGGTCTAAGGAAATATTGGGTGTTTTGTGTTAGAAGGATGGCTTTCCATCCATAGATCCTCTAGCATCTGGACTAATATTCTATCATCATCTTCAAAAGAAGAGTCTGTATTGATAGTTTGAGAATCAATACTAATAGTTTGAGGATTAGTGTCAGATGGGGAGATATTAGATATAGAATATGTAGGCCGAACCACACGCCCTCTACGCAATAGCATAGGGGAGCATAGAAGACTTATAAGAGACGGTTGCGATAATCATAGTGTCCCCAGGCACTTTTTGCACTCTCATCAAAAGAATTTCAGTCTTCTTAAAGGTCTTAGCAATTGAACTTATTCCAAAGGGTACATTTACTGACAACGAAAGAGAGTTTATGTAGGAGAGAGACGTTCTGGATCTACAAGTTAGGTTCTATGACCCCCAATGGTCTCAATGAGGATCTTGAAATCCATAGCATTATCTAATAAGTATGACCTATAGTCCCCGGAACTAGGATCCTCCTGTTTTTTTTGCTCAACCATTATTTACGGTTATGTACTGATATTTCTTTTATATACATTATTGTCTTCTTTTAAACACTTGTTTTTTTAACTTTCACTGTTACCACGTGTATATTGCGTTCATTCAATTATGAATACATGTTACTACACATCTATTGCGTTTACTTGATTACGAACATATGAGCTACCTAATTAGATACCCATATTGATTTTATTGTATTTCTTTTAGCAGTACTTTTTATACAGTCATTTTTATCTTCATCTTCATATGCCAAGCTTTCCACCCCCCCCCCCCCCCCTTCTTCGTCCATATACCCATAATTACCTCACTATAAACGCATTTTTTTGACATAGCTTCCATGTACCAGCGATGTCATTTTTAACTTAGAGTTCTCCCACAAGAAAGTTTTTCCTTTATTATTTTATTGTTTTATTATTACATTAATTCTGCTGAAGATAAAATATATCATGTTTTCCAATAGTGTTCTTATACATATCACTTCATTAATTGGCACCACTTTCTATCATTTAAAATTTGTACTTTTAAATTTGTATTCAACATTGCTTCAGGATGAGCCGTCCGCTCTGATTAACACCCCATCCCCTGCTAATTACACTCTGCCAGCCTTTCCTCTAATGGTCTTCTATATAATGGCCGCCGGCCAGGGTTACCAGAGACTTGACAAAGCGCAACTGCGCAAAACATGTCGTCTTGGTATGCATACCAAGATATGCATACGCTCCCAGCTGAAGCCGATGCCGGACACTGCCTTTGCTTGCCATGATGATGCCACCCGGGACGCCAGGACGCTGACACCACATGATTTGAAGCCGACAAGGCAGCAGTGGTGAGCTCATGATTAACTGTTCACATGTTTCCACCTGGAGTGGCCTCTCTGCGCTCATTTGTATGAATATATTTTGCAGTGTGTTCACATACAGTCTTTTTGAAGAACTCCCATTTCTGTGTTGTGGTAATTGATGTCAATATTCCCTCCCAGTCTAAGTCTTGGAGAGCAGCTCTCAGTCTTGGAAAATTAGCTCTCTTAAAATTGAGCTTTTTTTTTCCCTGTATGTGCTTGCTGTTTACAGCTAACAATAAATGATATCATGTTATGGTCATTGCTACCCAGATGTTCTTTTATATAGACATTCGTAATAATCTCTGCATGGTTTGAGATTACCAGGTCCAGCAGAGCATCATTCCTAGTTGGGGCTTCTATGAACTGTACCATAATAATGTCCTGTAGTAGGTTTAAAAATGTTTGCCCTTTAACTGTTCCTGCAGTACCATTACTCCGGTCAATTTCCGGGTAGCTAAAATCCCCCATTATTATCACTGTCCCAGGCCTTGCAGCCCTTTTGATCTGTGCATGGATCTGAGTCTCCAACTCCTCATTAACACTGGGAGGCCTATAACAAACTCCAATGATTGCCTTTGTAGTATGCACCCCCCATGTGCAGTTGCACCCATAATGCTTCAGCCTCAGCACACTCTCCATCAACTAGGTCCTCTTTCACACTTGCTCTGAGATCACTTCTGACATAGAGACAGACACCACCACCTTTCCTATTTACCCTGTCTCTCCGAAAGAGAACATAGCCAGGAATATTAGTGGCCCAGTCATGTGAAGAATGAAGCCAAGATTCAGCAACACCAATTAAATCATAGTTCTGTTCATGCACCAAAGCTTCCAACTCACCTATTTTGCTTGGCAGACTTCTGGCATTAGTGAACAAACACTTTAATGCATTGACACCTTGTGTACATGTATTTTGCATTTTTTTTAATTTCATACAAATGGTACCATATCCACTGGTTGTTTGTAACATGGGAACGTTTTATCTGCCATAGCCCTCCCCCCATCTTTCCCCATTTCACCCACCAATAAGTACTGACCCCTGTCTGATCTGTCTACCCCGTTAAAATCTAATTCTTGATCCTAGTTTAAATACTCCTCCAGCCTTCCCATAAACTTCTCCCCCAGCACAGCAGACCCCCTTCCATTTAGATGAAAACCACTTCTAGCATATAGGTTGCACCTCAATGAAAAGTCAGCCCAGTGCTCTAGAAACCCAAATCCTTCCCTGTTACACCAGGTCTTTAGCCATGCATTGAGTTCTCTAATCTCGCCCTGTCTTTCCTGAGTTGTGCATGGCACAGGTAATATTTGGAGGTCCTTCCCTTCAACTTGCAGCCTAGTTCTTTAAATTGATTCTTAAGGAGCCTCCACTTTCCATGTAATCTGTCATTGGTTCTAACATGGACCAAGACAGCTGGGTCATGCCCAGCCCCTCCCAGTAATTTATCAACCCGGTCCACCACATGCCGAACCCTAGCACCAGGGAGACAGTAAACCATTCAGTTGAGGCAATCCTGGAGACAAATTATTCTATCAGTCCTTCTGATTATAGAATTCCCTACTACCACCAACTGTCTAGGCCTTCCTGCACTACCCTCACCACCCCTCCCAGATGGTCTGCTCTCCCGGCTGTTAGGGATAGCAGTGACATCCAGGGCTGCCACCCCTGAGCTTGCCACCCCCACATCTTCACCCAACTTGGCAAATCTGTTTGAGTGCACAAACCCAGGGACAGCCTTATTTTTCTGTGAGCCCCAACCACTCCCTCTCATTACAGTAACACATCTTCCTACCTGATAATCCTTACCAGCCCCTCCACACCCTCCACATCAATACCATTAGCTACATAATCAGAGAGCCAAAGACCCCTTTCAAGGTTGTCGGTTTTGCCCAGTGTTGCAACTTGCTCCTCCAGATCTCTAACGCGAGTTTCCAGAAGGGCAACCCACTAACATCTGTTGCAGCGGTATCCATCCTGGAGCTGTTGCTCCATTGTTGCATACATACGGCACATTTTGCACTGCACAAAACCTTCAACCCTGCTAGTACTCATATCACAGTTACAATATTAATAGGCAATATCAGTTGTCACTTACAGTTTAGTAGACTCCTGTTATAATCTCCTGTTTTCAGCTCTGGTTTTTTAACTCCACTTATCAAATGTCCACTTGGTCAAAGGTCCAGCAAGCAAAATACAGGCAAGCTCAAGAATGAGCAAGCTCAGAGTGAGCTCTACAGCAAGGTCTATAGTACCTGTAGCACCTGTGACCAATTAACTCCTCCCCTTAGCCACTTGCCGCCTGGCCTATGGTCAAATAACGGCCGGGGAAACACTTCATCCCTTCGGGAGGGCGTCATATGACATCCTTCCTGGATCATTCTTTGTGCATGCACCACAGGGCCATGCTGTAGCGAGATCTGTCACCGGCCTTGTACCTCGGACACAGCCAATGACAGATCTGTGTACCGGCCCCCGTTGCCAGTACCTTTTGACCTGCTGTGACCAATCACAACAGGTCACATGACAGTTGTATACAATGGATTGCTTCCTTTCATGCCATCCATTGTATACAACTGTGTCTAGCTGTGAATGGTCACAGCTATCACATGCACAGGCTGGAGCAATCACAGCCCATCTATGTCATGTGATTAGCTGTTGCCAATCACAGCTAATCACAACTAAAAAACCCCTGAATGAATCGATTTCATTCAGTTAAATGCTTTCTTATAGCAAAGAAATTCTTTCCTATAAGCAAATTGTGTAAAAGAAAAAAAAAAAATACTGATCACTTCCCCACAGTAGTACAATGTTACCATGTTAACATTATACTACTTTGGTCATAGTGCAATATGAAAAAAAACTTGAAAAAAGAGAAATGTAAAATAAATTATAAAAAATTTAAAAAAAATGTAAAAAAAATTATCTTTTTTTTTCGTACTGTTACCAGTCAGTGGCCCTGATTACCGCCACACCAGTTATATGCTGATGCTGTACTGCACTGGTGACAGTATGTAAAAAACAAATTGTGAAACATTGTTTTTTAATTTTTTCATTTTCCGAAAAATTATGACAACAGAAATTACAATTTTGAAAAAACTTGCCATGTCTCTTATGAAATACGTCGGACTGTCTACTTTTCAAAAAGGGGTCATTTGGGGGATATCTGTACTGTTCTGACATTTTTGGGCCTCAAGAAATTAGATTGGCTGTCAGTACTTCAGGATTGATCCATTTTCAGTTATATCCCATAGTTTGTGAACTCTATAACTTTCCTACAGACTAAATTATAAATACTGATTTGGTTATTTTCACCAAATAAATGTAGCAGAATACATATTGGCCTAAATTTCTGAAGAACAATTATTTATTTGCAAACTTTTATAACATAAACAAAGAAAAACTTGTTTATTGTTTTTTTTTTTAAATTCAGTCTTTTTTTGTTAATGATTTAAATAAAATGATTAAATACCACCAAAAGAAATCTCTAATGTGAACAAAATGATACAATTTTAGTTTGGGTACAGTGTTGCATGACCGCGCAATTGTCATTCAAGGTGTGAGAGTGCTGAAACCTGAAAATTGGCCTGGGCAGGAAGGGGGTAAAAGTGCTCGGTATTGAAGTGGGTAATTAGCATACTGGAGGAAGGCAAGGAAAGGAAGAAAAAAGTGCTATTTAAAAAGTGACAGAAAAAGTGATTTAAAAAAGTAAAAGGTTTTAGCAAAACCCAAAGAAGAAAATAAAACAACAACAAGCACCAATAATCACCAACAGTCAAAAGTAAAACTTTTTCACTCTCCTCTCAAATGTCCCACTCTTTTTAGCTGTCAGCTGTTAGTGTCCCAAGAAGTGAGATAGGCCATAAGTACATCAGGTTTGATCAGGTGTGATCAGTTTTCAATGATTGGTACCATAACTTGTAGACTTTATAACTTTTAAACAGATCAAATATTATACACCGATTGGTATTATTTTTACCAAAGAAACATAGCAGTATACATTATACCCAAATCTCTGAAGAAAAAATTACTTATTTGCAAAAATTTTTTCACAGAAAACAAAGAAAAATTTGTTTTTTTTTTCAAAATTTTCAGTATTTTTTAACAACTGGCCCTCCTGAGGATTTACCCCCCTAATGACCAGGCCTCTTTTTGCTACTCGGCGCTGTACCCAAACAAAATTTACATCCTTTTTTCACATAAATAGAGCTTTTTTGGTGGTATTTGATCACCTGTGCGCTTTTTATTTTTCGTGCTATAAACAAAAAAAGACCGAACATTTTGAAGAAAAACAATATTTTTTACTTTCGACTATAAAAAAATATATAGTAAACTCAAAGTTAGTTATAAATTTAGGCCAAAATGTATTCTGCTACATGTTTTTTGGTAAAAAAAATCTCAATAAGTGTATATTTATTGCTTTGTATGAACGTTATATCGTGTACAAACTGGTATAGATATTGCAATTTGCGCCATTTTTTTGCTATACAGCACTGCACGAGTTTAACTGACAAATGCGCGGTCAAGCAATATGGTACATAAATTAAATTTATGTCCTTTTTTTCACACAAATAGAGCCTTCTTTTGGTGGTATTTTATCACCTGTACGCTTTTTATTTTTTGGCGCTATAAACAAAAAAAAAATTTGAGAAAATTATTTCTTTAAAAAAAAAAACAATATTTTCTAATTTCTGTCATAAACAATATCCAAATAAACAAAAATTTTGTCATAAATTTAGGCTAAAATGTATTTTGCTACATGTTTTTGGTTAAAAAAATCCCAAAAAGTGTATATTGATTGCTTTGTGTGAAAGTTATAACATCTACAAACTATGGTATAGATAATGGAATTTACACAGCTTTTACTTTTTGACTGCCCATCACATTCCTTGAGGTGCTAAAATACCAGGATAGTACAAACACCCTCAAACGACCCCTTTTTGGAAAGTAGACACCCTAAGTTATCTGCTGAGAGGCATAATGAGTCCATGGAAGATTTATTTTTTTTCCACAAGTTTCTGGAAAATGACAAAAACTTTATTTTTTACACAAAGTTGTCATTTAAATTATATATTTCTCACACAAGCCATGGGTATATGTGGAATTACACCCCAAAATATGTTCTGCTACTTCTACCGAGTATGGGGATACCACATGTATGAGAGCGGTTACATAAGCGGTTTGTGTTACGGCGCTGCATTACTTTAACTGACAATTGCCCGGTCATGCAACGCTGCACCAACATGAAATTTACATTTTTTTCCCCCACGAATTGAGCTTTCTTTTGGTAGTAATTGATCGCCTGTGCGTTTTTTATTTTTCGAGTTATATAAAAAAAAATTTGAGAAAAAAAAATATTTTGGACTTTTGCTATAAAACATGTCCAGTATAAAAATTTTAAAATCTAATTTTGTCATAAATTTCAGCCAAAATGTATTCTGCGATATGTCTTTGCTAAAAAAAAATCCCAATATGTGTAAATTAATTGGTTTACGTGAAAGTTATAGCGTTTACAAATGGCAGTATATATACTGGAATTTTTATTTTTTTATACTAATAATGCCGGCGATCAGCGACTTATGGCGGCAATCAGCAACTTATGGCGGGACTGCGGCAGACATTCTGACACTGGGGGACTGACTGACTTAAGATCACTGACATCCCCAGTGACACCAATACAGTGATCAGTGTAAAAAACAAAACACTGACACTGTACTAATAGCACTGGGGAGGAAGGGGTTAACTTTTTTAGGCAATCAAAGGGCTAACTGTGTGAGGGGAGTGTTTTACTAGTGGGCGGGGGGGTGTACTTCACAGGAACATACTGATCCTGAGAGCTAAACTCCGGTCTCAGGAACAGTGTGTTGGTAACTGACAGGGAGCAGAGCTGCGTTGAAAACAATGCAGCTGTGCTCTGTGTCACTGTTTTCCGGCAATCGCTGGGACCCGACGGGTAATGACCGGCTGGGACCCGGTGATTGACACCCGCGGCCATGATCGGCGGCGCGGGTAGGGCGTCGTGCGTGCCCCCTACCGATATGCAAAATCATGTTTATATACATGATTTTGCGCAGCGGTGCCACCCTGCCGCAGTATACGTACTGTGGCTGGTGGGCAACCAGTTAATTTATAGCGAAAAAATAAAGAACCAAGTGCTAATCAAATACTAGCAAAAGAAAGCTCTATTTGTGTGAAAAAAGTAGGAAGGGGGTAAAAGTTCCCTGCATTGAGGTGGTTAAAGTGGTTGTAAAGGCTCAAGGCTTTTTACCTTCATGCATTCTATGCATAAAGGTAAAATACCTTCTCTGTGCAACAGCTCACCCCAGCCCCCTAATACTCACCTAAGCCCCCTCTCTATCCAGCAATGTGCACTGGGGTCTCAGCAATCCTGGGACTGCCTCTCCTCATTGGCTGAGACAGCAGCGGGAGCCATCGGCCCAATGAGAAGAGCCGCAACTCTGTGTGCAAATGGACACATGGAGTAGCGGTTGCCCCCATAGCAAGCTGCTTGCTGTGGGGGCACCTGACAGGAGGGAGGGGCCAGGAGTGCAGGCAGGGGGACCCAAGAAGAGGAGTATCTGGGCTGCTCTGTGCAAAACCACTGGAGAGAGCAGGTTAGTGTGATGTATTTGTTTTAAAAAAATTTAAATAAGCCATTAATATCACTTTAAGTAAAGTGGATTCAGAACAGATGCCTTGCCAGCTGATTAACTGATTTAACACATTCTAATTAAGTTCACAGTAGTCCAGCACATTTTCTAATATGTAGGGAAACACCACCATTTGAAGAATTTGTTGAAGCATGTTGTATTGCAGTGCGCTAAACAACCTCTTTAAAATGAATAGGCTGCAAAGCACCAGAACACATATGAAAATGGGGCAGGCCAGAGCAAGTCCATTGAAATTTAAATATGTTTTTAAGTTGAGGTGGGGTGCCATTCTCAAAGGTACTGCTGGTAGAGATAGAGCTGCATGGCTGACACTCAAAGGCTGTGGCCCTAACTGGTGACCAGGCATTCTGAGGTCCTGTTCCTTATGGTAAATCATCATCAAACTCTGGTGACACAACTGCTTGTCTCTGTTCTGTCTACCTAGGAATGTTATAATTGTCTAATCTTTGATAGCCCACATGGATTTGTCTCTTGTCTACCTCCTCTGGCATTTCACTCTCAACATTGTTTTAGACTATGATGTTGTCGCTATTTTCCTACTGCACTAGCAGTGTCTAAGAACTCATAATGAAACCAGCAGTCTCCTGCTGAGAAGTGGAGTGGGTAGAATGAGACATGTGGCAATATCACTGATAAATGACTAAACACTTTTATGATACTTTCATAACATTTCTGCTGAACAAAGCACCAAGAAAGAAATAAAACCTAATAAATTAGAATTCTATTGGCTGATATTTTAACTAATAAAAAAATTGTAGTGTAAAACCTACTCCAGGGGAAGATAAAGAATTGTCTTTTAAAAGCTGTTTTAAAGTAATCCCTTGCTAATTCCATTAATCTGTAAGTGACCCTTATCTGAAAAAGAAAAATCCAAGACAAAGTAGAGGGAGACTGTGGAAGGTTAATAAAATACTAAGAAGTCCACTGTAAGAGAATCTTATTTGTTCAGGATGGAGAGAGAAGGGGGTAAAAATTCTCACTGCAAAAGTTGCACCTGTATCTCCTTCTTCTCACATTATGAATGATACAGGTGAGTGACTACAAAATTCAAGATAAATGTGGCAATATGTATGGCTGTTCACTATAATAATACGTTCAAAATGTAATCTTGTGTTCAAGATATGGTTTGAGCTTATTACCAGTTAATTTGTGTTTTGTATTGCTTTTTTCATCATGCTTCTCCTGCTTCTACTAAAATGAGGAATACAAATATTATGAATAGCTGATGGTAGTTTTCCAGATTGCTACATTTCCTGATTGTTATATTTCTGCTAAAGAATGTAGCAAAGTAATTAATATGCATTTATCAACTACCCATTTACTGCACATACCTAGAGGTGCTCAGGACAGTGCTTTCTGCTCTGATCCATTCTGTCACACAGTTAATGGTTGAATGTGGTGTACATGTAGTTACAATTGAATAAAGAACAATCAGTATTATCTAAATCAGAATTTTGAAAAACTTAGCAAATTTGTGTATTAGTTATGAGTGCTTTCTAAGCTTCAGCCTGCTCCATCTCATTCTCAGAGGAATCCCTGCACTGGATGAGTAGAAGACCCTTTTCTTTCACAGATGTTGTGCACTGGGACACTGTGACAAATGTTGATGCGCACTGTTACACTGTGACAGATGTTGATGTGCACTGATACACTGTGA